GTAACTAGACGGATGCAACTCAAAATAGATCATGTGTGGAGTACGTGAATGGAGTGCAAATTTTTGTCTCTTTTGCTTTTGATAATATCTAAGATGAAGGTATGAATGTCCTTGTCCTTGTGTGGACTGTAATAATAATTTCATAAGGGAGAACATGAAGTCGAACAACATCTTCTATTAGAGGAATAAGGCGGGATGAAACTAATTTGATTTTATCATGGAGAGCACGATGAGGATGATGATTCTAGCGAGAAGGATGAAGATAGTTATGGTGATGATGATAATAAGATAGATGTTTATGATATGCATGGGTGACCCAATGACCTCATACCTCAACTAGATCCTCTGCCGCAAGAACCCAATGAAGAAGCCAAGAACTTGTTTAGACTTCTCGGAGAAGTTGAATCGCCATTGTATGCAAGGTGTGATCAGAACCTCTCCTGCCTATCTTTCCTCGTTAAGTTTATGCACTTAAAGTGGTACAATTCTTGGAGTGATACTTATTTTACCCAATTGTTGAAGGTGCTTCAAGCTGCATTTCTTATGGCGACTCAGTCACTGCCAAAGAATTATTATGCAGCAAAGCAACAGATGAAAGTGGGGATGCCAATTGAACACGAATCCACGAGTACCCAACCATTTCAAAGTGAATAAAACTCGATGTTGATAGATTTTGGGTCGGGTGCGGATTTACCCGCTTTTTTGAAATAGATTTTACCCGCTTTTGAAATTGAACGGTTGGCTTGGGTTTTGCCAAAATCCCCCCCTCTTTCCACCCACTCGCACTCATAAAGCAAAACAATGTCATTCTGTATCTTACCAGAAAATATGAATAGTTTATAAATGTTATTAGTCTCTATAACAATATAAACTTAATCATATGGATAATTTAGGGATGTCAATTGTCTTTATAAAGATATATTTATAGAATTTTTTTTTTTTGAGAATATTACGATGTGAGTGTTCGAATAAATAATTATTTTTAATGAGTGCATCCACACTATTGAATTTGAGTTTAGAAAAACTCGATCCAATCCGACTTTTTTTTTTTGTGAGAAACGGAGCGCTAAGGGCGCTCCAACCTTTATTCAATGATCAAACGGGTGGTCTGAACCCCAAGAATGTCATGATACAACCAATACGACAGCCTACTATCAGGAAAAGCAACTGATGAGCCCCATTAAGTTAATTACCACCCATCCATCCCACTACAGTAACTAGTGATCACCCATCCAACCATTTCTACCTGGGAGAAAAGTGGGTACTCTGCCACCCCAATTCCACGTGGAGGGTTCCTTATCTTCTAATAAAAATGACACATCAAAGCCTAAGCTAGTCTATAAATCATGCATCTTCTCTTAAACACACGTGGATGGCAATCCTTATTTGCTTCCCTCCAACTAAATGTATGGGTTAACATTTCACCACCCATCTTTTTCCATGTGTAAGAATTATTTAAGATTAATTAATTGATGGATGGTAATAGTTAAAACAACCTTCCACCTATCTCATTTACATGGAACAGAAGAGCAAGCCATCTTTATTAAGTTGGGTGAATGGCAAACTTTACCCCAACTTCACTTTGATTACACGTGTGTATCGGATAACTTAGTCATAAGCCTAGTCCCTCTAAATTAACCCCTCACTTGACAGCTTTACCCATTACATACACGTAGCAAGAGGTTGTATGTGTTCCATCAACCAATTATCTCACCAAATTGGTCATGTTACTTTCCTTCTATGAATACCCATGGAGAAATGGAGAACTTACGCCATCACATGCATGCAAAGCAAAGTATATGTAAATGCATGAGGTATTAACTCCATCAACCCATCTCATTATATTCAATTTACTGGCCCATAACTGTAAGTTGGACACTAAAAGTCGAAAACTTAATTCCCCAAAACCACCAAATCCTATTAATCTATTGTTATGCATACCTTCCATCTAAGTCAAATCACCCATCTCCTTTCATTTGTTATGCACGTAAGGTGTGAGTATGATGAGATGAAATAGGTGTGCACGCATCAAGGTAAGTTCTTTTTTAAATCTTTTTCAATTAATAAAGGACACGCCACCCATGCCAGGAGCAGGAGGCACCTATAAATAGGACGCTCATTTATGTTTCCTCGGCAATCCATCTCAAATCTAGAGAACTCACTTTCTCTGAACGAGATCGGAAAAGGGGAATTCTCGACGAACTTTTTCTCGGCGAATTGGCAACTTCCAACCCCGAAATTTCTTTTGCTTTCCCCCTAGAGCCGGCTCAATATGCCGCTCCCTGTTATTTCCAAATACTGATTTGAGCTTTGGAGAAGGTCCCAGCCGATCACAACCGGCGGGTCCTTTTTTGCAGGCGTTCATCTCGAGAGCTGGAATTCAATGGCAACCAAAAGGTCAACGCTCTCCGGACTCTACAACGTTCGAGGTCGGCTATTTTAGCTTGGCATCAACAGCAACAAAATGTCTGCCTATAGGGTATGAGTGACCGAGACCGGCCAAGTAATCAGCGAATATGTTTGCCTCTCTGTAGACATGGGTGATGTGGACCTCCCAATCGCGCTGTAACCACTGCCGAATCTCGGCAATAGTGGTGTAGTGGAGATGCTCCGGTGTTGCCGATTCTATGAGAGATGTTGTTGTTGTCGAGTCAGTCTGAAGAAGAACCTTCCTAGTTCCTGCGTCCCAGGCGATCCGAAGCCCATGCACAATCCCGGCTAGTTCTGCACTTGTAATGGAACCCCCGCCAAGGTTCGCTGTGTAACCCGAGATTAGGCGGCCATCTTCCCCCCGCAAGACGACGCCTGCAGGCGTACTACCAGTAGAGGTTATCACCGATCCATCAGTGTTTAGGCACGTCCAGCCTGTAGGTGGTGGAGTCTAACCTATATATCTCGGTGTTTGGAGTCCCCCGGCTCCGAAAATGACATTGTTCTTCTTAGTGGCTTGAAAGATTTGTTGCCGCAGCTGCGCAGCTTTCCCCTGCATGTGTGCATGGGACCTCAAATCTCCCTCGAAGCAGTACCTATTAGGGTTCTTCCACAGTAACCAACACATGGTGACGAAGTAAGTGCAGTCCAGAACTCTGCTTCGCCCTGTCATATAGTGAGGCATCCAACAGTCCAAGTTAGGAGTAAAAAATTCCCCATCTTGTTCATCGCTAAGTGAATCTGCCCACGTAGCCCTGGCATACGTATAGTCTCGGAGAACGTTAAGAGTTGTCTCCGGCCCTCCTCCGCAGATTTTGCAGCTGTCGTCCGTGGTAAGGTGGCGCCTGACTCTTTCCGCGTTGGTAAGTAGTTTCTCGTGCGCCATCAACTAGAGGAAAGTTCTCGTCCTTAGTAATGCTGGAACTCTAAAATAGAACGCCACTTAGGATGCTCTTGTGGAGTGTTTGCGTCCTCCTCTCCCATGAGCTCATACGCCGACTTGAAAGTGAACCGGTCGTACGCAGCAAAACGCCAGCAGCGAACGTCATCCTCATCGCCTCCAGGCACCGGATGAAGAAGAATTTGCGAAGCAACAACAACTGGTAAGAAATGCTGAATATAAACTTGGTTCCACTCACCGTTCAAGATGAAGTCCACCACTCACATGTCCAAGGCTTCTGCGGGAACATCCGGCCCATATGCTTCGAGAGGTTCGCCATCAGAAAGCCACTTGTCCTGCCAGAACCTCGCCCCCTTTCCGTTCCTTATGTTCCAGACCGTGGCTTCTTGTAGTTTGTGCCACACCTTTAATACACCCTGCCACAAGTTCGAAATCCGCCCAGTCCTTCTAGGCACAAGTCCCGCCTCAGAGCTCTTTGTATACTTACTCAAAACCACCTTCGCCCAAAGGTCGTTCATTTGGCTCATAGGACAAGGAAGGATCTTTTTTAGTTTGTTTCTTTCATTTGGCTCATAGGGATACCAGTTTGAATCCGCCCTGATCCGCAGTAGCATTTGGCGGGGCTTGGGTATCAACTTCCGCCCGTCCTGTTCTTGGCCCATTTTATCTCAATTTCTTATGTTATCTACTCATATTTCTCATATTTTGACTTTTCTTCAATTAGTTAGACTTGATCCTTCAACTAGTTAGACTCAATTACCCACTCTATTATCACTATTTTTATTCATAAAGTGTTTTTTCCTTTAAGATTTGCGTATATTTTTTTCAAAAAACACAAGAAAAAAGCCCAATTCGGGGGAGAGTGTCATTTAAATGGGCTACGTGTATTAAAAGTTAAAACGCAGAGCAACATTTAAATGAGGTGCAATTGTCAGAACTACCCTTCCGTGAAGCTCTTTATGGGCAGCATATTCAAAATGCTGCAATTTGGAGTAGTGAATCTGCTTCATAAATTTTATAGATGTAAGAGTTGGTCGCCTTGTCCCACCCAATATCCACGTAGATGTTACCCGCCCCGACCCTTTATAATGTAAGACGGGACATAAATATTAAAGTAACCGCCCCATCTCACCCTATTGCCATCACTATGGGCTTAGTGACGCTTACGCACCACTCAGAAACCCAGAGCCAGCCAGCCGGCGAAACCCACACCGAACCATAGAGCCCCTCCACCTTCGGCCTAATTTCCCGTTCCGGCCTATTAAGCCTCTTTTCTTCCTCTTGAGCGGCCACCTTCTCTAACAAGGTTGTCAAACCGGTTTATGCTAGTGTGCCGGTTTAGCAAGTGGAATGGTTTGACCGGTGGCACATACCGGTTTGTGCCAGTTCATGCTGGTCAATATTACAAATAAAATTATAAATACTCAATTTAAACATGACATTTAACGTCAATACTTAAACATTTATACTTGAATCCAACAAATAACATCAATATTCAACATTTATACTCATAAAACAAATAATAAAATAATTTTTAACAATTAAATTCACTAAAATAAGGTTATTTTACTTAGAGATTCGTATATCGATCATGTCGGTCATACCGATGGTGTCACGCCGGTTTTATGACCGATACAGATTGAACCAGGTACAACCGGTGACACTCCGACCGGCGTGACAACCCTGTTCTCTAATAAAATCTCCACTTCTGCTCCAACTTCTTCTTCTTCTTCTTCGCCCCTTTTATAAAACGGCCCAATCCTTCTCTTGTGGCTTTATTTTCTTCTCTCTCCGACCCTTCTTCGCTCCCATCGTTCGTTCCTCTGTCTCCCTCACTCCACCCGGCCCTATCTATCTTTCTCTCTCTTGTCTTTCCGCGTTTCGTTGCTCCCCCAATCGCATCGTCACAGATTCGCTCGTCGATCCCCCAACTGGTAAGTCTTCTCTCCCCTTCTCGTTACTAAGCCCTAATTTGCCGCAGTCCTCGCTCTTCGATCGACAACAACGACGGGGATCCCTAATTTCTCTTCTCCGGTGAGCGAAGCTCTTTTCCTCCCGAGTCGTTGATACCCGCTGCGTTTGACTTGTTCGGTCGAGATTTCCCGTTCTGCATGTCTGATTCTAGATTAGGATTTTTGTTTTTTTTCCCTCTCGGGTGTGTAGATAATCTGGGTGAAATTCTGATAGCAAGCCTTATCTGGATTTTATTATCTCTTGCTTCTCCGTTTGCCGATAGTTTTTGTTCCGCTAAAATTCTTAATCTCGATCTAAAATTTTGCTGTGACGGTCGTTGATGGGTACTCTGGATTTTTCTTTGTTCGTGTTTCCTTGTTTAGTGAGGTGTGATGTATTGAGTGAGTGTTGAGTTCCCAGGGTTTGATTGTCATGATCTGTTTTGGGAATCACGAGTCTGGGATGTGATCAGATTGAGGGGATATCTCTAGGGTTTTCTCGTTGTGGGGGTCTTCTGTGCGAGTGAGACTTGTACATAGTGTGACTTTAGGAAGGTGAATGTAGTATACGTGAAATGCCTAAATTGAGGGTTGATTGAGTTTTACTATCTAATGGCAGCACTAAGAAGAGGAATTACCGAATTTCAGAGAATGCTGGGCATCTTACTCGTGTAAATGGGGTTTTTAGAGCAGATTACTTAAACGTTGCCAGTTTTTCACTTAGAGCTTTTTCTTTGTGATCTAGGCAACCATGAGTGACGAGGGAGAGAAGACCTGCCCACTCTGCGCCGAGGAGATGGATCTGACTGATCAGCAGTTGAAGCCTTGCAAATGTGGCTATGAGGTTTTGCTTTTGTACCTTGAATACTTGGACAATTTCTTTGCTGATGCATGCCATAATAAGTTGATCTGCCACTCTTTTCTAGATCATATCCGTGAAATTGTAGAAGCGCATTTGAAATGTATAGACTTCTCTTTTGTGGATTGTTAGCCATAAGAATTTGATTATTTTGCTTTCAGTGGTTGTCTTTCTGAAATCATGCCTCTGCTTTCCGCCTAAAGGCAGCAGCTTTTTTATGAAGGCGGTGGTAGTGATCTTTTCAAAGTTAAAATTCTTATTATCAGCTTCTTGTTGCTCACTGGTGGTTGTTGGAGGGTTAAATCGAAAATGTAGCTTTCTGTTATTTGTAATTATCCTGTTTCTGGTTTGGCTATGTGGATGGGGAAGATTATTGTTCTACTCTTTGAGGTGTCAATCGATCCATGCATGCGTGTTGTGTTCATCTGGTTCGCTGTTATTCATTTCCATAATGGACATGAGTATTTGATTAGAAATTGATTCTCTTTGCTGTAGATATGTGTTTGGTGTTGGCATCACATAATGGACATGGCTGAGAAGGATGACTCAGACGGTCGGTGTCCTGCATGCCGCACACCATATGACAAGGAGAAGATAGTAGGGACTGGACCGAATGAGAGGTGTTTATATATATATCATCTGTGTTTTCCAGTCGGTATTGCTGTACGTTTGTTGCTGATTTGGAATGTACAATATTAGATTGGTAGCTGAATTCCAAGAGCGGAAGAAGTCACATAAGTCAAAGTCGAAACCATCTGAGGGGAGGAAGCAGCTCAGCAGTGTGCGGGTGATCCAACGGAATCTTGTCTATGTAGTTGGGCTACCTATGAACTTTGCAGATGAGGATGTAATGTCTTCCTCTGTGTTTTTCAATTAATTTTTGTCAGCTCCCACTTCCTTCACAACCCATCATATTATGTACATCGTAGAAATAGTTGGGTCTAATCTTTTAATATCTTTTGTTAAGCAGCTACTCCAGCGACGAGAATATTTTGGTCAGTACGGGAAAGTGTTGAAGGTGTCAATGTCGCGGACAGCAGCGGGAGTCATTCAGCAGTTTCCTAATAATACTTGTAGTGTGTAAGTTTAAGTGTCTTCTCTGGAGTGCTGTCTAATTTTAGCTTAACTGGGTCTTTTACTTTTTCAATCAGTTACCAAATGGAGATTACAGTAAGAACCTCCAATCCACCAATTTATATGATTCCGTGATTTCTGATAAATTTGAAATTTAAGAACATTAACTTCTTATGTCACAAATGTATGTGGTCTGTGTTGTCCACAGCTTCTGTTTGGTAAATATTTGTCCTTACACTGCTATGGTTTTCATCTGGATCCTAATATCTGACAAATACCTAAATGTCATTGTATGTAGATATATTACTTACGGAAAGGAGGATGAAGCAATTCGTTGTATTCAATCAGTACATGGATACATATTGGATGGTAGACCATTGAAGTATGTACATGTTTAATCTGAATAATATATTAATTTGAATTTCTGTGTGGTATGCATGCTAATACTGCTGATGTTTTTTCAGGGCATGCTTTGGAACCACAAAGTACTGTCATGCTTGGTTAAGAAATGTGGTATGTGCTACAAATGTTCTACCTGCTGCTTGTTTATTATTGATTTCTTCTCACATGTTAAGTTTGTTTGCAATTTTAATATGAAGAAATTTCTGTTTGGATCCAGCCCTGCACCAATCCTGATTGTCTATACTTGCATGAGGTTGGATCTCAAGAAGATAGTTTTACAAAAGATGAGATAATCTCAGAGTATACAAGGTATAGTGAATGTATTTTCATTCGACTTGCTGATTGCTATGGTTATGGTTGGAGAATTTAGTATGCTCTATGAAAGACATTGGTGAACGTTAGCTATCAATTCAGCAGATCATTTATTATGTTATTTCATCTCTTAGACTAACTCCAACCCTTGCTTGCAAATTTGGAGAAAGGCTATATTTTGCCTTTTTTCATCTCCAACCCATCAATAACTTAGCTTCCAAATTTGGAGATTGGGGTGTTGGGGTGGATAGGTAGCAGCTGGAAGGGGGAAAGGGGGCAAATATAGCAGCTGGAAAGGGGACCCCGCGTGCAGGCGAGGCCCAACCGCGGGAGGCGCGCCTGGGCCGCACGCGCGCGGAAGGAAGGGCTTCCTCCCGCGCGCGTGCGGCCCAGGCGCGCCTCCCGCGGTTGGGCCTCGCCTGCACGCGGGGTCCCCTGCTGCTGCTTTATTTTTTTTTTTCATTTTTTGTTTGCGTTTTAGTTTGTGTGGGTGTGTTTGCGTTTTAGTTTGTGTGGGTATGTTTGCGTTTTAGTTTGTGTGGGTGTGTTTGCGTTTTAGTTTGAAAGAAGTAATATAGTGACAATAAAACGGTCACATTGCAACGGACACATTTTAACGGCCATAAAAAATGACTAATTTTGCAAAAAAAAAATTATCTCGGAATTAAAAAAAAATTACATCGAAAATTTTGTTTTCACAAGTAATAACAAACTATAAAAAAATTAAAGTGAATTACAAGAATGATATTGTAAATAAGTATGGATTATGGAAATTAAATAAAAAAAAGATGTGGGAAGCTAAATTTGGAAGCTTTTAGGGTTGGAGCAAAAAGGTGTTTTGGGGAGGCAAATTTGCACATTTGAGAGCTTGGGAGGCTAAATATAGCTTTTGGGGTTGGAGTTAGTCTTAGAGTATAAACTAATGGTTTTTAGTACCCATGCTCCTGCCGTTGGGCTGCTATTTGATGTGTAACTGCTTCATGGTTCTTAAAGGAGTAGGGTGCAACAGATTACTGGCGCTACCAGTAATTTGGTTCGACGTGCAGGGAATATGTTGCCACCTCCATCGGATGAATATTCTTACAACACTTCGGCCTCTGCTGCAAGACCCATCGTAAAAAATGCAGTAAATGTAAGTTTTCGAGTTATTAGAAAGATATAGCACTCAAGTGTCTGTTTTCTTTTGAAAAAAATTGATGTGATAACCAAGTCCTGCATAAAGAAAACATTTGATGTGATTGCCAAGTCTTGCTTTTACTGATTTAGACGTTTATCTGGCTCTGTCCTGCAGAGCGCAATGGGTAGTAGTGGCAAGGGTTCGCCACCTAATGGGAGTTGTAGTAGATCTGGTGCTCTTCCAGCTGCGGCTTCATGGTATGCTAGTAACATTAATGTCCAGCAGTGGGTTTATTACATATATTTATTATCCTGAAATGCTGTTTTGCAGGGGAATGCGCTCTTCAAACCAGCCACAAAATCTAACATTTTCAAATGGCCCTCCTGTGCTGAAGCCTGATACAGTGAAAAAGACCAGTTGGAATGAAGATAGTCAACCAATAATAAGTAAATGCAAACCCGATTTATTAGGACCTTTGAAACGGTTGCCTGCTAGTGACTCCCCTCCCATTGTGCCTGAGAAAGCATCTTTAAATGATACCAGTGTTAATATTCACTTAACTAAAGACTGGGGAACAGCTGAGGTCTCAAGTGTGAAAAGTTCTCTTATGTCCCCTCAGTCCTCAAGTCATGAGCAAGATGAGCTTGCTATTGCAGATGAGAAGATTCCGGGTTCATGTTCTGAAATGTCTTCAATAAGGATTGGTGGAAATGATACCTCAGGGGCAATGAGTAGAACTGGCAGCGTGTTTCCAGAGAACAGTGTGTTCAAATCTCCTAGTGGTCAGCAACAATATGTTGAGCAATGTGGAGGCTCTTTAGCTTCTCCAGCAAGTGAGCCTGCTGCTAATGGGGTATATAATTCTAGAGTAGAAAAAGATTGGAGAATGGATCCACAGACTGAAGCAGTTCCAAGCAGCGAATGTGAGCTGGAAGAGGATGTATTATCGTTTGATAATCAGAGACTGACGGATCCAGAGGTTGTCAGCCGTTCATTGTATTTGCCAAGTTCAGTGAACTCTCTCCAGACAGCAAACAGTTCCTGGTCTCATTCTTTGCAGCATACAGATGCTTTAGCTACTGTTGATGCAAATGCTGATTCTTTATTCTTAGATCATAGAATTGGTGATCGTCCAATGAGACACATGCCTAGCAATCCTGCCTTGCCAAATGGATACACTGAAACATTGATGAATAGTTCTACTGGGTTGAGTAGACTTGCAGAACTAACTCTTTTCCCTCCTGGCCAAGATGAACGGGAGCACTTGGGAAGAATACAAAGTGACGGTGATGGTAATGTGATTCTAGATGCTGGAGAGAGTAGCATAATTTCAAATATACTATCTCTAGATCTGGATGGATGGGATGAATCAATAACTTCCCCACAAAATTTGGCTAAACTATTGGGTGATAAAGATAAACAAACTAGTTCTCTGAAGATGTCTAATTCCTGGAAAGCTCAAAGTAACATGCAGTCTAGGTTTTCTTTTGCTAGGCAGGAGGAATCGAGGAACCATGCATTTGATATTGATCCGTCCTTTATTGGGCTTGGACAAATGCCAAGGAATCATTCATTCAATCATGATCTCTTGGAAAATAGAAATTCATATTTGGATAAGCATGGGTTGAGTAATGGTTTCTCATCAAGTAATATGGACGATTTAGAATCCTCTCTTGGTGGCAATTCAGCTTTCTCTTCCAGTAAGCCTTCCGGTGAGTATTTACCATGGTGATTTGTTGATTTCTTGTACATTTTGTGGTACCATTTAGATAATAAGAGATGCTTCTAATTATGTTTCGTCAATGATTTCGATGTTGTATCTGGATCTAGTTTTAGCTACGTAATCTGAAACATGATGTTTTTTCTTTTCTTTCCAAATGTTATTCAGTTAACTTGTATTTTGCTGTATACAATGCCTCATGCACTCCTGTTGTGTTGGATATGGATTGGTATGTTATGATGAGCTGCTTTTAAAGTTTGCTAACCATAGCTGATTCTCCATATATCAGTTTTGCGATCTCAAATTTCGGCCCCACCTGGGTTTTCAGTGCCTAACAGAGCACCGCCACCAGGCTTCTCTTCTCATGAGAGGGTGGAGCAGACTTTTGACAGCATCTCAGGTTAGGCTTCAGCCTCTATTGCCATGTTCATCCGGTCATGGTGGTGGTTCGCATTTGTAATTATCATTATCTGTGCTACAGGAAATCATTTGCTCGACTCGTCTTCCTTGCTTAGAAGCTCATACCAGGCTCCAATGAGTGGAAGCATGGGAAGCACAGCTGACATTGAATTCATAGATCCTGCAATTTTAGCTGTTGGCAAGGGGAGACCTCAAGGGGCCTTTAGTAATAATAGCCCTGGTTTAGACATGAGATCAAACTTTCCACTACAGTATAGCAGTTTTGAGAATGAGGCCAGACTACAGCAACTAATCATGCAAAGATCTCTTCCTCAACAACAGCAGAACCTACGATATGGTGACCTTGCGGATAACTTCTCTTCTTCACTCGCTGATTCTTATGGCCTCTCTTCAAGGATGGTGGATCAGTCTCAACTGAACAACAACTTGTCCCCCTTTGCACAACTGTCCGTCCCACAATCTAGGAGTAATGGACTTGTGTCAAATGGGCACTGGGGGGATGGCTGGAATGAGGTTCAGGGCGGTGGAAACAATTTGGGTATGGCAGACCTACTCAGGAGTGAGAGACTGGGCCAGTTCAACAATTTCTACTCCTCTGGGTACGAAGATTCAAAATTCCGGATGCCTAGCTCTGGTGACTTTTATAACAGGACGTTTGAGATGTGAAGCAGTAGTGAGAACATATGAAGATGTTTTGCCTGGCTAGCACATGGCTGAGAGGTGTAGAGGGGGGAGACGGATAAGATGATCTGCTTCACAACTACGTGGCCGTTGTACTGAAGGATTGGACTCTACAGCTTTGACATGTTTGGGTGTGCAGCCTTATGAAGGACCAAAAGCTCCCGACCCGAGGTCTAGAAGGCAGCAGGTGTGATATGAATGAATGCCCTCTTAGGGGAAAGATTTTACCCTGCCATCCCACGAAACTGCTCTATCATCTAAGCAGTATTCATTGTGCTTTTTCTTTCCGTCGCAGGTCATGTAAGCTTGTGGAGAAGAACATCATTGCTGTAGTTGATTTGGTGCCTTGAAGCGGCAGGGGGTGCGTGCATACTACTACCTAGAGAAGTTGGGGCAAAGGTTGTTAACCTTATAGAGTTGTTGACTGTCCCTTCTTTTCTCCAGAGTCTTGGTTCTGTTTCTTTTTTCCTGTGATGAGTTTAAAAATGAATGAATTTGGTTGATTTCTCCGTCTGCGTCGCCAACTGAATATAGAGTTCGACTTGTGGAAGAGGCTAGTCTCCCTGTCTTCCCCCCTCTCCCCGGTCTCCATTTGTACGCTTTTGACTGCCTTCCCGATTATTGTTACTAACTGCCAGTAGCCAGTATTAGATACAAAAGTGGGGGGAAAAAGATGTTTCAACTTGCAACCCTCTCGAGTTCCAGCTTCTGCATCGTCTTACTGCTTGAATCTGTTGTCTGGATGCTGTGGGTGGTCTCTCGGCCGATTCATGTTGGAAGTTCATAATAGCTAAATCTCCAACTTGATTGTCTGAAGTATGTTGGAATCCAACTCCATTATCCAAAGATAGATAGAGCCAACTTCGCAATCGAGATGCTTTAGGTCGGTCGCTGTTGATTTGATGCAAAGGTGATGTTTGCGCATGTATAACATCATGTATTTATACACATAGGAAAAGTAATAGTGATACATGACCTTTAACGAATTAGACGATAATTTCTAGTAAAATCTAATGGTAATAATGTTACAGTGTAGTTACGAGTTGCAACATCTTTCAATTTGAAAAGAAGACTATGATCACTAAATGGGAAATTGCCACTTTTCATGAGTTTTTTTTTATATGTATATAATAACAATGCATCTAGGATTTATAATCATGGAGTCCCTATCCACAGTGGTAATAGAAAAATAACGGGTCTATTTACCCAACACTCTTAGGACTTCCTACTAACACATTGTACCACATTGAATGAGCCATGCAGTCTGGTTATTTTTAGTTCTCAATTCTTTTTTCACAGGATTTTTTATACTCAATTCATTGGAAGCAAATTGTAACACTTTAGGCAAATCCCACATCGACAATGCACGTGAGGGATCCATGGTTTATAAGTAGGAAACCGGCCTTAACTGACAAAACGCGTTTTGGGGTGTAATGGAGGAGTTCTTGTGAGAACTCCGAAGTTAAACGTGCTCAGTGTGGAGTACAACAAGGATGGGTGAACTTATGAGAAGTCACCTTGAATTGCACCCCAAGGCAAATCCGTGCGGGTGTAGAGGCCCAAAGCGGACAGTATCTTGTCGGGAAAAGGTACGGGGTGTTACAAGTGGTATCAGAGCCTCTTCACGTCCCTCTTGAACGATGGTAGGACAAACCACAACGAGGGCGTTGAGTCCCGGGGGGGGGGGGGGGGGGGGGGTTGTATGTAACACCTTAGGCAAATTCCACATCGACAAAGCACGGGAGAGATCCATGGTTCATAAGTAGGAAACCGACCTTAATTGACAAGACGCGTTTTGGGGTGTAATGGAGGAATTCTTGTGAGAACTCCGAAGTTAAACGTGCTCAGTGTGGAGTACAACAAGGATGAGTGACCTTATGGGAAGTCACCTTGAATTGCACCCCAAGGCAAATCCGTGCGGGTGTAGAGGCCCAAAGCGGACAGTATCTTGTCGGGAAAAGGTACGGGATGTTACACAATTTTTTTTTTTTTTTTTGGGGGGGGGGGGGGGGTATGTCACACCTTAGGCAAATTCCACATTGACAAAGCACGGGAGAGATCCATGGTTCATAAGTAGGAAACCGACCTTAATTGACAAGACGCGTTTTGGGGTGTAATGGAGGAGTTCTTGTGAGAACTCAGAAGTTAAACGTGCTTAGTGTGGAGTACAACAAGGATGAGTGACCTTATGGAAAGTCACCTTGAATTGCACCCCAAGGCAAATCCGTGCGGGTGTAGAGGCCCGAAGCGGACAGTATCTTGTCGGGAAAAGGTACGGGATGTTACACAAATGATCTCAAATCTTTTTTTTTAACAAAGAGATGACCTTTCATTCCATCCGAATCAAGAAAAACAAGTTCATGAGAGTTGGCAACAATAAGTAACATAACAAATAATCTCAAATCTATGCCAGGCTAGAGACTATTTTGGGGAACGGTTACGGTGATTACTACTAAGCTATAATGGTATTCTGGTGCTTATTGTTTTGGTAGTGATGCTACGTTTTATTGGTAGTATTTACATTGGTATTGGTGTATATCTATTTTGATGGATTGGTATTCAATATTAAAATTGAGTTGGATGCGGAGTGTCTGCATAATGGTTGTAGGATGTGCATGGTTTGATATTGGTTCAGTATCAATACCATTAAAATGAATTGTTTTGCTTGTCCCTGTGTTTTAATAGTATTATTGTCTATAGTTATGTGTTGGTAGACATATTGTTGATTTCGGTCTTCATCAGACGTCATAGGAGTATGATTTATTTTTATTTTGGTATTAATACATATTTATGGGTATATGTGTTTGGTTTGATAGGTATTGGTGTGGTCATACGTTGTTCAGCCGAACTAATACCGCTACAACAACAAACAATAAATCAATACCAATCCATTAGAAAAAACACTACCATTACACAAAACACCAATACCATTCGAGAAAGCATGGGAGAGATCCATGGTTCATAAGTAGGAAACCGACCTTAATTGACAAGACGCGTTTTCGGGTGTAATGGAGGAGTTCTTGTGAGAACTCCGAAGTTAAACGTGCTCAGTGTGGAGTACAACAAGGATGAGTGACCTTATGGGAAGTCACCTTGAATTGCACCCCAAGGCAAATCCGTGCGGGTGTAGAGGCCCAAAGCGGACAGTATCTTGTCGGGAAAAGGTACGAGATGTTACACAAATTTGGGGGGGGGGTGTATGTAACACCTTAGGCAAATTCCACATTGACAAAGCACGAGAGAGATCCATGGTTCATAAGTAGGAAACCGACCTTAATTGACAAGACGCGTTTTGGGGTGTAATGGAGGAGTTCTTGTGAGAACTCCGAAGTTAAACGTGCTCAGTGTGGAGTACAACAAGGATGAGTGACCTTATGGGAAGTCACCTTGAATTGCACCGAAGACAAATCCGTGCTGGTGTAGAGGCCCGAAGCGGACAGTATCTTGTCGGGAAAAGGTATGGGATGTTACACAAATGATCTCAAATCTTTTTTTTAACCAAGAGATGACCTTTCATTCCATCCGAATCAAGAGAAACAAGTTCATGAGAGTTGGCAACAATAAGTAACATAACAAATAATCTCAAATCTATGCCAGGCTAGAGACTATTTTGGGGAACGGTTACGGTGATTACTATTAAGCTATGAATGGTATTCTGGTGCTTATTGTTTTGGTAGTGATGCTACGTTTTATTGGTAGTATTTACATTGGTATTGGTGTATATCTGTTTTGATGGATTGGTATTCAATATTAAAATTGAGTTGGATGCGGAGTGTCTGCATAATGGTTGTAGGATGTGCATGGTTTGATATTGGTTCAGTATCAATACCATTAAAATGAATTGTTTTGCTTGTCCCTGTGTTTTAATAGTATTATTGTCTATAGTTATGTGTTGGTAGACATATTGTTGATTTCGGTCTTCATCAGACGTCATAGGAGTATGATTTATTTTTATTTTGGTATTAATACATCTTTATGGGTATATGTGTTTGGTTTGATAGGTATTGGTGTGGTCATACGTTGTTCAGCCGAACTAATACTGCTGCAACAACAAACAATAAATCAATACCAATCCATTAGAAAAAACACTACCATTGCACAAAACACCAATACCATTCGAGAAAGCATGGGAGAGATCCATGGTTCATAAGTTGGAAACCGATCTTAATTGACAAGACGCGTTTTGGGGTGTAATGGAGGAATTCTTGTGAGAACTCCGAAGTTAAACGTGCTCAGTGTGGAGTACAACAAGGATGAGTGACCTTATGGTAAGTCAACTTGAATTGCACCACAAGGCAAATCCGTGCGGGTGTAGAGGCCCAAAGCGGACAGTATCTTGTCGGGAAAAGGTACGGGATGTTACACAAATTTGGGGGGGGGGGGTGGGTGTATGTAACACCTTAGGCAAATTCCACATTGACAAAGCACGGGAGAGATCCATGGTTCATAAGTAGGAAACCGACCTTAATTTACAAGACGCGTTTTCGGGTGTAATGGAGGAGTTCTTGTGAGAACTCCGAAGTTAAACGTGCTCAGTGTGGAGTACAACAAGGATGAGTGACCTTATGGGAAGTCACCTTGAATTGTACCCCAAGGCAAATCCGTGCGGGTGTAGAGGCCCAAAGCGGACAGTATCTTGTCGGGAAAAGGTACGAGATGTTACACAAATTGGGGGGGGGGGGGGGAGTGTATGTAACACCTTAGGCAAATTCCACATCGATAAAGCACGGGAGAGATCCATGGTTCATAAGTAGGAAACCGACCTTAATTGACAAGACGCGTTTTGGGATGTAATGGAGGAGTTCTTGTGAGAACTCCGAAGTTAAACGTGCTCAGTGTGGAGTACAACAAGGATGAGTGACCTTATGGGAAGTCATCTTGAATTGCACCCCAAGGCAAATCAGTGCGGGTGTAGAGGCCCAAAGCGGACAGTATCTTGTCGGGAAAAGGTACGGGATGTTACACAAATGATCCCAAATCTTTTTTTTTAACCAAGAGATGACCTTTCATTCCATCCGAATCAAGAGAAACAAGTTCATGAGAGTTGGCAACAATAAGTAACATAACAAATAATCTCAAATCTATGCCAGGCTAGAGACTATTTTGGGGAACGATTATGGTGATTACTACTAAGCTATGAATGGTATTCTGGTGCTTATTGTTTTGGTAGTGATGCTACGTTTTATTGGTAGTATTTACATTGGTATTGGTGTATATATGTTTTGATGGATTGGTATTCAATATTAAAATTGAGTTGGATGCGGAGTGTCTGCATAATGGTTGTAGCCTGTAGGATGTGCATGGTTTGATATTGGTTCATATCAATACCATTAAAATGAATTGTTTTGCTTGTCCCTGTGTTTTAATAGTATTATTGTCTATAGTTATGTGTTGGTAGACATATTGTTGATTTCGGTCTTCATCAGACGTCATAGGAGTATGATTTATTTTTATTTTGGTATTAATACATCTTTATCGGTATATGTGTTTGGTTTGATAGGTATTTGTGTGGTCATACGTTGTTCAGCCGAACTAATACAACTGCAACAACAAACAATAAATCAATACCAATCCATTAGAAAAAACACTACCATTGCACAAAACACCAATACCATTCGAGAAATAAAAACACTACCATTTCACAAAACACCAATATCATTGCAAATTTAATCAATATCAATACATGCAAATCAATACCATTACATGATAATCATTATCAATGCAGAAATACAGTACCAATGCGAAAAACACTACCACTACGAAAAAAATAACTACCATTTCAAAAAATACAAACCAATCATTCTACTCTCTTCACGTCAAATCCTCAATCAATTTTCTTCCTCCCAAATCACAACACAATTATCTTGCCAATATAATCAATAGGTTCAACAAAGAAAACCCAGAAGCAATAAAACATAATTAAACAACTTACACACTTCTAGTTCCCTCCAATGAAGAACTGCAACCAATATCATTCCATAAAATTAAATCG